TTCTATGTTCTTGAAAGAACAATTGTCATGTTGGACAATCCCTGTCTCAAGTGTCAAAACATTAATTCAAATGCTGTATCTAAGGCAGAGGGGGGTGTAATACAGTTAAAAAGAAAAAGGACCCTCCCCCCATCCTGAAGATCCTGCCTTTATGCATATGAGAACTGGCTGCCCCAACTTTGAATCATCATCCAAGACACTGCAGCCTCTGCCATCTAAAATGTTAAATCCATCCCCAGGTGACCTGCAGATGCCTACCTATAGCCTAGGACAGCATGGATTCCTCCTCCTATTCTACAAGGTTCCAGTATAAATTCATAATCTACTGCACGCATAACTCTTGCTCTGCACAAGCCAGTTCAAGATTCCTCCATAAGACTATTTAGAGACAGGATGGGCAACCTTTATATGGGGATATAGCTGGTGATGCCATTGGCTGAGCTTGGATTTCCCCCCCCAAAACACAGGGAGGAGAGAAAGAAGGAAAGTATGCCACGCAAAATCACCATTTTGATGCCAAATTTCAGTAATGTAAACTTGTGGGCCTCTGGGAGATTGCAGATTGTGCACCCCTGCTTCAGAGTGAGTTATTTCAAATCAGTTCCCCAAATGTTTCTTTATGCATACTGTTACATTGTGAGGGAAAGCTTCTGCAGACTTCATGTAAGCTACCCAAGGCCTATGGGTGCCATTGTACACATAACCCTTCCCAAATAGTTTCCTCAAGACCTTCAAGTTGAATGAAAAACAATTAAAGTTTGGCATAAATTCACACTGTCATCAAACGTAAAAGTGTGAAAACCATTTTGTTTTAAAGATTTGGGCATCCTGTGAGATTCAGCCATTATTATTCAATATGTATGTGTAATTATTTTTATTTACCACCTGAACCACAGTCCACCTGCAGACTCTTGCTAAATATCATTGCTTCATGGACCATAGGCTGAGAACCACCAATCTAAAGAATAACTATTTTGTTTCTCTTTTTTATGTACTGGTAATTTGTTGTAGTTATTTTCATCTCTAATCTTAATAAAACTATGGCTTAATGCAATGTTGATGAAGATTCTCAGTCATCCAGATGGAATTATCTGGAGGTTGAGTCATGGCAACTGGACTTTTTGGTTTGATACGTTTCACTGCTTGTCCAAGCAGCTTCTTCAGCATAGAAATGCAGCCACCCTGGAAGACATTTATGGGGTCCCCCCTAACCAACTTTCTAGACTGAAGAAGCT